AAGTCAGATGCTCAACCGACTGAGCCATCCAGGTGCCCCAGAATCTCTTTTATTTTTATAAAATCAATAATAATGTCTCAACTGTTATTACTGATTTTAGTTATTAGAGTCTTCTGTCTTTTTTTTTTTTTCTTAGTCTAACTAAAGATTTGTCAATTTTGGAATTAACTTTTATTTTAAATAATTTTCCTCTATTGGTTTTTCAGATCTCTAATTAATTAATTACATTTTTGCCTATTTTAATTTATGTACTTCTTTCTTACTGCTTGCTTTGGCTTAAGTGTGCTTTTCCTCTAGTTCCTTAAAGTGTACAGTTAGGTTATTGATTTGAAACCTTTCTTCTTTTTTAATGTAGATGCTTATTACTACAAATCTTCCTTTTAGTACTGTCTTTGCTGAATTCCATAAGTTTTAGCATGTTGTTTTCATTTTCATTAATATCAAGGTATTTTCTAATTTCCCTTGTGATTTCTTCTATGACCCATTGCTTATTTGCTTATTCTGTATATTTGTGAATTTTCCACTTTTCCTTCAGTTATTTATTTCTAATGACATTTCCATTATGATCAAAAAAGATACTTTGCATGATTTAAGTCTACTAAAATTTATTAGGACTTGTTGTGTGGTCTGATATGTGATATATCTTGGAGCATGTTCCATGTGCACTTAAGAAGGCACATTCTGCTGTTGTTAGGTCTAATCAGATTATAGTGTTGTCCAAATTCTCAATTTCCTTGTTATTTTTCTTTCTTCTTGTTATAGCCATTATTGAAAGTTGAATATTAAATATCCCACATATTATTTCAGAATTGCCTTTTTGTCCTTTCAATTCTGTCAATTTTTATTTCATATATTTTTTAGCTCTTGTGGACATGTACTGTAATAATATTATCTTCTTGATGGGTTGAAGATTTTGTCAATATAGAATATCCTTCTTTGTCTCTTGTTACTTTTTTTTAAATTTAAGTCTATTTTGTCTGACCATAATATAGCCACCACAGTTTGGTTTTGTGTGATGTGTGGGTGTGTATGTGGTTACTATTTACATGGAATATATTTTTCTGTTCTTTTGCTTTCAACCTCTTGTGTCTTTTTATCTGAAACTGAGTCTCATGTAGACTGCATATAGATAGATATGTTTGCTTTTAAATCCAATCTTGCAAACTTTTACTTTTAATGAGAATTTAATTCATTTACTTTTAAAGTAATTATTCATAAGGAAGGGCTTAGTTCTTCCATTAAGCTGTTTTGTGTATCACATGTTTTTTATTCCTTAATTTCTCTATTATCTATTTTTGTATTTGTTTATTTTTGTTGCCTAGTATTTTGATTCCCATCTTTATTTTGGCGTGATTTTCTGTCACTATTAGTTCCTTTAGGGATTACAATTGATATCTTAAACTTAAGACACCTGAGTTTTAATAATACAAAATTAGTTTAAATAACATACATTGTTCCTATACATATTTATCCCTTTTATACTGTTTTTGTCACAGATTACATGGTTATACATTGTATGATCATTAATTTATATTTATAATTATTGTGTTATGCATTTGCCTTTTAACTCATATAGAAACAAGAGTTATAAACCAAAAGTACAATAACTTTGTTTTTTTTTAATGGTTACCTATGTAATTACCTTTATAATTGCTTGTTTCTTATGTCTTTGAGTTACTGTTTAGTGTCCTTTTATTTCTGCCTGTAGGTCTTCCATTAGTATTTCTTGCAGAACAGGTTTGCTAGCAATAAATTATATTTGTTGTTGTTGTTAATTTGAGAATGTCTTAGTTTCTCCATTATTGTTTAAAAGAGGATACTTTTTTTTTTTTTTTTTTTGGGACAGAGAGAGACAGAGCATGAACAGGGGAGGGGCAGAGAGAGAGGGAGACACAGAATCAGAAGCAGGCTCCAGGCTCTGAGCCATCAGCCCAGAGCCCGACGCGGGGCTCGAACTCACGGAGCGCGAGATCGTGACCTGGCTGAAGTCGGACGCTTAACCGACTGCGCCACCCAGGCGCCCCAAGAGGATACTTTTATTGGATACAGACTTCTTGTTTGACAGTGTTTATTTCAGGACTTAAAATATGTTATTCTACTACCTTTTAGCTTCCATTGGAGAAATCAGATATTAATCTCATTGTGGGTCCCTTAAATGTGACAATTCACTTCCCTCTTGCTATTTTAAAATCACTCCTCTTTTTGATCCAAAGTGCCTCAGTGTGGACTTCTTTGAAGTCCTGCTCAGAGCTGATGTATTTGTTCATGGTTTGCTTTAGGTCATTGAACATATTTAAAATGTTTAAATGTTGATTTAATGTTTTTGACTACTAATTCCAAAATTGAGCTTCTTCAGGGATTTTTTCTGTGATATTCTTTTATTTTTCCTGTTTAGCTTAAGGTTGCCTATTTTTTTGCATGCTTTGTCTTTTTTTGGTTTTGTTGAGAATTGACTTTTGAGTATATTATAACTCTGGAAACTTGATTTTTCTACTCCCCACAGATGGCTGATGTTTGTTTCCTGACGGCTGTAGCTATTTGTTTGTAATTTCTCTAAACAATTGCTGCAAGCTGTATATTTTTTGGGTGTGGTTACTGGATCTTGGGTTTAATTAACTCTGCTGTCAGCCAGTGATCTGACAAAGATTTCCTTAAAATGTCTGGTTCCAAAAAGCAGGGGAAGTGTTTCTGTCTATTTAAGTCTTCTGATAGATGCCATCTGGGGAAGCTACTGCAACCCAAAAGGATTGAAATCAAGACAGGCACCTACACAGTTCCTTCAGTGAACTGCCAAACCAACCAAAATGTACCTCCTCAAATTTTGGAGAATAAGATCCCTACTGCCCACCCTGGCATCAGCCAGCCCCCTCAAGGACTCAGGCACTATCTTCACGGTGGTGCTGAGGAATGGGTTTTGATATCTCTTTTGTACGTGTCATTCTCTTACCAGAGAACACCAGTGTATCCCTTCAACAAACACGTACCTTGTTGTAAGCATCCAATCAAGTTTCAGTGTTTTGAAATAGTTTATTTAAATTACTCTTTCTAGCTTACTGATTGCTTTGGTGGTGGGCCCAATCCCTGGAGCTGACTTTTCTGCCATTTTGTGTCAACCCTACTTTCTTAAATCTTATTTTCCTGCTTTTATTCCTTGTCTGTCTTTTGAAATCCTATACAAGTCCCCAAAATGTTGGTTGCATGCTAATATAATGATAATAAGAATTATACCATAGATCAAGATAAACTAGGTTGAGAGGAATTAATCAATTTTGATTCTCTTAGGCCTCTAACTTGAACATATATCAGACTCCATCACTTTTGCTTAATTCTCCATTAAAGTGGTAATGTATTATGTATGTAAATACTGGTGTAGATAATGGGAGATTTTTTTACAGGCTTGGTGTACCTTTTTTTTAAATTTTTTTTAATTTGTATTTATTTTTGAGACAGAGAGAGACAGAGCATGAACGGGGGAGGGTCAGAGAGAGGGAGACACAGAATCTGAAACAGGCTCCAGGCTCTGAGCTGTCAGCACAGAGCCGACGCGGGGCTCGAATTCATGGACCTTGAGATCATGACCTGAGCCGAAGTTGGACGCTTAACCGACTGAGCCACCCAAGCGCCCCTTGGTGTGCTTTATAAGGTTAAAGATTTTTCCAAATTTTGCCAATTATGAAGAGTACGGTTGACTTCTGTTATTATTGTACATGCATTAATTCAGCATAGTATTTTTCTGTTTTCCATATGAATTGACTGATGGAAAATAAAGCTCAAAAATTATGCTGTATATTTAAGGCACGGTATGTTAGTCAATTTTTCAATGTCATTTATTTCCATTTGATCTTAGCAAAAAATAAATTTACTTTCCTAATCACTTTTAGAGTTGTTGATGCAAATTTACTAGCCCTGGTAATATTAAGTTTTTATACTTTTCTTTTGTTTTAGAACCTTGTAAAACATCTTCCTGAGCAGAAAGTACTCTGTGAGTTAGCACAGCTGAGGAATGAGTATCATGACCTCAGTGAGCCTGAACAGTTTGGAGTTGTGGTATGTATCTAGCATAAGGGCCCACAAACTTAACTGGGGTGTAACACTGTCAGAAATAATGAAAAGGACATTTCAATTGTTGATTTTTTTCAAACTATACAACTACATAATTTAATATAACATTGGCTGTCAGAAAAAAATATTATTTATCATGGTATTGAAACATAAAGAAATTTCTATTTCTATTTTACAGAATACTTCAAGATATCTCCTGGGAGCTCTTTCATACTAGTGCTGATATTTAATTCTATTAATACATGAAAAGTAGTATATATTATTGTATTGGCTATTTTTTTCTTTTATTTAGACCTTGATGTTAGAGTTTTCCCCCCTTCCAAATTTAGGCTAAATGAAAGAGTAATAACTAGATAAGTAACAATATTCTAAAAACTTTTTTTGTGGCATGAACTGTGTCAGAGAAAGCACAGAATTTTCAGATTTCCTCTGGAGTGTTATTAATTAAGTGAAAGCTTTAAATACACTGTTTTGGGAAGAAAATTCTCATAAAAATATCGTGCTTTAATATGTTTAAATCATTATTGGAATGAGTTGTTTCCTCACCCCCTCTTCATTTTAAGGGGTACAAAGGATGACTATATATAAATTATGTATTAAAGAATATAGTTACATGTTTTAGTCATTCCCCAAACCTGCTATTGAAATAATGGGCAAAGCAAAAATGGGAAAGAGGAGATGGTGATTTATTTAATTTCTTGGAGGAAAAGCTATTTTTAACTTCCATATTCAATACAAGTTGGTTTACTTTATGGAGAAGCAGCTGTATTATGTATTATGGCTCCCTGACAATTTCCCATATGAATACTAAGACTCAAAATTAACATTGGAACTAGTAGTCAAATACTGTCCTTCATCAAATATTTTATTACCTTTTTAATAGTAATATATTTTAATTGATATGATTTGGTACTTTGCAATTTAAAACTCTTGATTAAAGTCAAAATGTGATAGGGCAGAGAGCATTCCTTTTGAACATGTGCAATAAATTCTTGCCCACATTTAGAGCTTATTAATTCTCAGATATGGCATTGCAAATACTGCTATGGGAAGATTCTGTCAAATCCCTGAAAATAAAATCAGGAGTGTATATTTGGGATGAGATAGACCTAAGGTAAAGTACCTGAGGAAGATATTTTTCTCTTTTTTGAATTATGCAAATTATTCCAGTTGAACTGGCTAGATATTACTGATTAAATCACAGAGCTTTAGTGCAATATTAAATAATAAAATTTTCTAGACCAAAGTCCACATTTGAAACCTAAGGTGCTTGAATTCATAGTATAATTGAAGCAGAGCTATATACTATCTGAGAATTCAGCTGTGCCATGATGGTTATGAGTTTTACAGTAGGTCCACTAAACAGTTTTTCGGAGGCCATTTTTTTTTCCTGAATGCAGTTTATCTTGGAAGATGTATTAGTTTTTCAAGCAAGTCCTTCAAGAGCAATATCCTTGGTGCCACACTGAGGAAATTAAGTTTGGGGACATAAAAAGCAATATACCTTCTGAATTAAAAGCAAAATAGAAAATGGAAGAGATTTCTTGTTTATGCACATAACCATAAATAATTCCAGGGCTGTGTACATGAAGTAACCTGGTCCTCATATTTAACTCTCCCATCCTTAGTTACATGCCTATAGGGAGAAAAAAGTCAAGGACATTACAAAGTAATTAATGCTACATAAATTACCCAAGGTAGTATCCATCAGGATTTGCCAAATAAAGTTTAGATAATCTCCTATCTAGGAAAATATTTTTGAAATAATGATAGGCCTTAGTCTTTTGAGCACCAGCTATTATTGGTGCCATTATTGTTTATAGAAACAGAATGTATTGGGATGCTTAGAATATCTTGTATACAATAGGCAGTAAATATTTATTGAATTGAATTATATGATGATTATTGAACTCAAGTATGAGGCCGAGATTAAAAAGAGCATATTTTAAGTCTGTAAAAGCAAAAATTATGTTAAAACATATTTCTCCAAGTCAATGCTAAAACTAAATTAACTTCTTTGTGAATACACCCAAATACTTTTTAATCCTCAAAATATATTGACAGCCTACATTTAGGAAAGCTTCTCAAGTGTAGAATCATCTGCACTAATGGGAGAGTCTCCAAACTGGTTGTCTTGCTTCTCTGCTAATTCCCCCATCAACAATTAGTGTAGTCTACTTAAAATCTATATCCGACATGTGATTTCTGTGTCCAAAACTTTCAGTGTCTCCCAGAATTTACAGAATAAAATCTGAGCTCCTTAGTATTCTCATTCTGCTCGTAACTCTGTGTCTTTATATCCTGTTCTCTTTGGTGAACTGAGTGAATTGGTGTCTTTATGACATTTTAGCTTTTACCGCAGCAGGACTCTCACTGCCCTTTCAGCAGTTATTTTACTTGTTCCTATTCAGTGACCTTTCATTTTTCTATAGTGGCTATATCATATCTTACCTGCTCTTCTTAAGTCTTCTAACCTCCCCCTACTCTTTCTTTTCACTTACTACCAACCGTCTAATCTTTTACACACCAGAGTAAAAGGAAAGCACTTAGGCTTCAGAACCTCCAATATCTCTTCTTCCTATAAAGCTATCTCTAGCCATATCTTTTATTAACATATTGTCTGTCAAACCTCAGAAAAAGGGATAGCTTATTATTATTACTAATTTGTTGTTGCTCTTCTTATTTACAGAAACAATGCATTAAGGAGCTACTGTGTCTGATACTATGTTAAGCATTTTTATATTCACCATCTTATGTATTATTTGTATCTATGAAGTTTGCACTTTTATTAGCTCCATATTATGAATGAGGAAACCCAGGTGAAGGAAGGCTAGGGACTTTGTCCCAAGGTTACATAGCAAGTACTAGATGCATAATTCAAACCCAGGCAGTCTGATATAGACAGTGCTTTTATTCATTTTTATTTTAAAATTTTATTTATTTTTATATAGATATATTTTTATTTGAATTTTAGTTACTTAAAATACAGTGCGATATTAGTTTCAGGAGTAGAATTCAGTGATTCATCACTTACTTACAACACCCAGTGCTCCTCCCAACAAGTGCCCTCCTTACTACCCATCTAGCCCATCTCCAACCCACCTCCCTCCCATCAACCCTCAGTTTGTTCCATATCATAAGAGTCTCTTGTGGTTTATTTCCTTCTCTTTTCTCCCCCGACCCACTTTCCATATGTGCATTTGTTTTGTTTCTAAAATTCCACATATGAGTGAAATCATATGGTATTTGTCTTTCTCTGATTTATTTTGCTTAGAATAATACATTCTAGCTCCATCCGTGTCATTGCAAATGTCAAGATTTCATTCGTTTTGATGGCTGAATGATATTTCACTGTATATATTTATTTTATTGAAGAATAGTTGACATACAATATTGTATTAGTTTCAGGTGTACAAGATAGTGCTTCAATATTTATATAAGTTACAAAATGGTCACCACAGTAAGTCTAGTTACCATCTCTCACTATGCCAAATTGTTACAATATTATTGACTATATTCCTTATGCTGTATATTACTTCCCAATGTCTTATTTATTTCATAACTGGAAGATTGTACCTTTTAATCCCCTTCAGCTATTTCATCTATCCCTCCACCACCCTCCCCTCTGGCAAGTACCAGTTTGTATTCTATATATTTGAGTCTGTTATTGTTTTGTTTTTTTTTTGTTGTTGTTGTTCATTTGTGGCTTTGTTTTCTTAGAATCCATGTATAAGTGAAATCATACAGGATTTCATTTAATATAACATTTCATTTCATTCATACTTATTTCATTTAGTATAACATCCTCAAGGTCCATCCATGTTGTTGCAAATGACAGGATTTCAGAGTAATATTACATTACATACGTAACACACATCACCACCACCACCACCACACCTTTATCTATTAATTCACTGATGTACATTTAGGTTCCTTCCATATCCTGGATATTATAAATACTGCTGTGATGAACATAAGGGTGCATATCTTTTCAAATTGGTGTTTTTGTTTCCTCCTGATAAATAGTGCTTTTAACTGCTATACTGTTCTATTGTGTGTGTGTGTGTGTGTGTGTGTGTGTGAGAGAGAGAGAGAGAGAGAGAGAGAGAGAGAGAGAGAGAGATGCTCTACTATATGCTAATTTACTTGTCTGTGTTTTGAGCATTATTGTCTCTTGCCTGCTTTAGAGTTCTGTTTTTATTATATCTTCAGTTTGTCATTCTGCAGTTTGACTTCCTCTTCAGAAAAAATAAAACTTAAGTCCCTCACTTCCTAAAACTGAATAAACTGATAGCTGGATAGATGAATGAGTGAAAATCATTTCTTGACCCTGAGATCCCTGATAGCTGCTGCTGTCTCCATTTCCTATCATCTGTTTTTTTTTCAAAGATTAGTTTCCTTTTCCTCTACTTCATTGCTTCTCATGTACTATTCAACAAACAACAATCAGAATTCTGCCTTGAACAATGCGTTGAAAATTACCTAAGAGAGGTCATTAATTACCTCCTAATTGAATCTAGAATATACATCTGATCTACTCTTCATCTGTGTCATTACCACCTTAGCCCCAAGCTAGCATCATCATTCTCTTTAACAGTTATGATATACTTTTAGCTTCTTGTCCCCACTCATGCTTTTGCCTTTCTCCAAGTTAATCTCAGTGCAGCTCTCGAATGTGGCATTTCTAGAGTTTTTTGTATTGCATCATATAATTTATCTGATTAAACCATCAGTGCTGTTGTGTGGCACTAAGGCTACAATATAAACTCCTCACCAGGATTTACCACCTCTCTCACTTTTATCTCCTGTTGCTTGGCTTCTTGCTCATGTTCCGTCAGCCACACTGTATTTTATTTTTCACTTTTTTGAATTTACCATGCTCTTTCCTGCCTCTGGCAGGAGATTACACATGCTGCCTCCTCTTACACTCACTTGCTGCCTGCCTCTTTCCTGCTTATTCTTCCAGTCTCGGCTTAAAGTTCATT